ATGTATATTAATGATATTATTCTATAGAACATATGAACATTGAGCTTTCTGGTGGGTCACCTTTTGAATGGGGACTAGTATGATTCTTTTCCAGTCAGTTGACCAAGTAGCTGTTTTCCAGATTTCCTCTAAATTTCCAAATTATGATACTACATACAAAGGAAATGCTATGTAAATAGCTCGTTATGTTCCCTCAGCCTTTGAGCTAATGCTTTGACCACTTAATTGCTTTTTCTTTTTTCCTCTAATATTCTCAATGAGTGATTGGTTGAATTCCTACATGGGGAACCCATGAATAAGGACAATTCTGAAGGGTCTGTTTTGCTCATTTTACTCCTTTGGACATCTGGAAGGAATGAGCTAATTCTAAGATACACTTAAAAACAAAGAAAGCACTTCCTGCTGGTCACCACATTCTTCAACTCTGAAAGGAAGAAATGGATCTACATAAAATTCTTCCTTGTATTTATATCAAAATGCATGGATAGGCTTCCAAAAGTTGCCTTTATAGCACTTTGTTTCTTCTACTTGTGAAATTAATTTAGAAGTGATGTTCAGTAGTTGAAACATTATTGAATTTTTTTTTCAATTTGCCCATCTGTCTCTAAATCTCAGACGAGCCACTTTCCTCCCTGACTTAGTGCCATGATTTTGAAGCTGGGCTGCTCATCTGCGCCGTTCCCTTTCTTCATCTGTGCTCCTCCTTCGGTCACAACAGTTCAGCTTTGGTCCGGCTCCACGTATTGGGAATATAAAGATCTGTATAACATTTCACATAAAAGTAGCTTTCTACTTCATTTTTGTTGACTTTTCTTGGTTATAAGAAAGCAATTTGAGGTTGCTGACATTGAAAAGGTGAATTTTCCACCTTTCTGTCGGAATTCAAACAATAGCCAGGCATTTATGAAATATATATTTTTAAAAAACAGACTCATGACCATTGAGTCGGTTCCAAGTCATAGTGACCCTGTAGGACAGAGTAGCTCTGCCCCTGCAGGCTTTTGAAACTGTAACTCTTTATAGGAAAAGAAAGCCTTCTCTTTCTCCTGTGGAGCTGCTGGTGGTTTCGACCTGCTGAGGTTAGCAGCCCAACTCACACCTCCTGTACTACCAGGACTCCACTGTACTAAACACGCACCGTAACAAACACATACGAATGTTTAAAGGCATGTTAGGAAAAATAGAAATGCTAATATTTCATTTCCCACTCCAGTGGATTGGCTGGTATACTCCCTGAAAGGATCACTCCGGACTATGGAGATCATTGACATTGGTGAGCCACCATGCTCCCTCACTTTGCAATTCCTTGACAGCTTAGGCTCATGTGACCTTTGCCTTCAGTGTACTTTAACCATGTATTCAAATATTTACATCCTAGACAATTCCTGCCCATATTATCTGAGCCTCCATTTTAAACATCAATTTTCTGTTTTTCCCAATCCCCTTACTCATCTACTGTTCCTAATACAACAGTTTCCAGAATACCTTGGAATCTGTCCTTAACCAACCTTCATTTACCTCCTTTCCTCCTGTAGTCATTTCATTGTAAACATTTATACCTTATTTGCCCTGTTCTCTTAACCTAAGGAAGTGTGGTTAAGCCTATCTTTCTACTACTGCAGAAGGAACTCTGGTTGCATAATGGGTTACATGCTGGATTGTTCCCCCCAAGGTCCCGTCTGTAGAAATGTGAGACTTTCTGGTCTCATAAAGGTTTACAGCCTTGGGACCCTGAAGGGGTAGTTCTTAGTCCTGTACGGTCGCTATGAATTAGAATTGACTCCCTGGCAGTGAGTTGGGTGTAGGGGGTAGGAATCTAGAAAAGTTCATGGGCGATGGAGGCGTTAAGTGTGTGGCAGCTAACTGAATGGTCAGCTGCTCCTCAGGAGGAAGATGAGGCAGGCTGCTTCTATGAAGAGTTAGATCCGTGGAAATCTCCTGCAAGGTCACCATGGTAGAATGGACTCAATGGCAGTGGCTTGAGAACCTAGAAATACTCTTTCCAATCCTCATCCTGATTTCATTATTTCCTCTCTTAGACTAACTTTCTCTTCTTTATGTACATTAGTCACTCCCCTAGGTGGTTCCCAGGTTTATTTTTCCTCTTTGCAAGAAACCAGCCCACTCAAATTGACAATCTTTTGAACCCTATCCTAAATTCACAGGAGAATCTGATTGACCAGCCTGGGGGAGATGTGCATCCCTTGTGCTGTAAACGATGGCCAGATAAGCAAGGTACATACTGTAAGCATTGCTGGTGAGGCCCAACCCTCAGAATGCGTGGATAGTGGAAAAGTGGAGGAGATCTTGAGAGAGAGAGTCATGAGTTAGGCACTCCCACCAACTCCCAAAATAAAAAACTTGACTGATTTTTAAGGCAGAGAAAATGCCTTAATCTGGGGAACAGATAAGTCTCCAGAAACTCTAAAATTGTCTGAGAACAATTTTCTGCTTTTCACTAGAGAGGAGCTTCACAGTTCCTCAAAGTTGTCTATGTACTAGATGAAGGACCCACTGTAGGATTTCTTTCAGCAACAGTAATCCAAAGCTCCATGGATCTAGAAATCTTAATAGTGAAAGGTGAGGAAACTGCCATCAAGTCGATGTTGACTCATAGTGACCTTATTTAAAAGCAACTACAAAAACTCGCTCCCCTAGAATCAGTGCTAAGTCATAGTGGCTCCCTTAGGGTTTCTGAGACAGTAAGTATTTACAAGAGGAGAAGGCACCCTCGGAGCTGCTGGTGATGTGGGTTGCCAATCATGTGTATCACAGCCTAACCATTAACCACTGCAATACCAGCGACCGTATAGGACAGGGTAAAACTGTTTCCGAGGCTGTAATTCTTTATGGGAGGAGAAGGCTTTGGTTTTGAACTACACACCTTGCGGTTAGCAGCCCAGTGCATAACTACTACACCACTGGGGTTCTTTGAAGGTAATTAGAGAGGTGAAAACAAAACCTCATGAAAAAGGAGTTCTTGAACCCCGATTTGGCAGCTGCATCTTGTAAACTAGCATGCTTTCTTTACATCTATTTTAGATCAGCAGAGGAGAATATTTTTGCCACCTCCACCTGGTATTAGAAAATGTGTCATATCCACCAATATTGCTGCAACATCTCTGACAATAGATGGAATCAGGTACAGCTGTGGACATTCTTCTTAAGGCCAAGGAAGCTACTTAGTTAATTATAAGTTAATTATTGCTTATTTCTCTGTGCTCTCTACTAATTTCTTGTTTACTTTTAAGTTTCTTAACTTATAATCACCTGCCTTTCTTGTAATTATTTGATTGCTGTGAACAGGAAATTGAGGTCAGAAGTGCAAATTGTATTTCTGTTAACATTTTTAAACTACTTGGTAACTTGAAACGTTCTCTTCCCAAATTTGAGATTATGGGTTTCCACGTCTTTATTGCCTCATTACCAGAACATATATACCCTGCTTACCTTGCAGTCCCACTTGGTTGCTAGAGTAAGCATTGCTCAGCTAGAATATGTTTATCTGGAAGTGTTGTGTCTGTCTTTCGCTGTCTCCCCCACCCATTTTTATGAAAATGAACTGTCATGCAGAACTCATATCTTTTTCGGATAATATAAATGATGCCATTAAATTTTAGAGTTAATTCCAGAGAAACATATGGAAATTTTTTATCTGGGGTGACAGCTCATGTGAAGTTCATTTAGATGATGAACCACATCCCTTTTAGATATTTATCTTTTACCCAATCTATTTTATGTTCTAAATCTGTCTGTCATTGGAAGACTGGACCTGAGTCTTCAAGATCCTGTATATTTCTTAAGGGTATAATGACCACCCTGGTCTGAGAGGAAGCTTAATCTCCTCTGCTTTTTTCTTTATTTTTAAAACAATGGCTTTACTAAAGGGGAGCAGCTTTTTTTAAAAAATCATTTTATTAGGGGCTCATACAAGTCTTATCACAATCTATACATACATCAATTGTGTAAAGCACATTTGTACATTCATTGCCCTCATTCTCAAAACATTTGCTCACCACTTAAGCCTCTGGCATCAGGTCCTCATTTTTTCCCCTCCCTCCCCACACCCCCTCCCTCATGAGCCCTTGATAATTTATAAATTATTATTTTGTCATATCTTGCCCTGTCTGACATCTCCCTTCACCCACGTTGCTGTTGTCCGTCCCCCAGGGAGGAGGTCACATGTAGATCCTTGTAATTGGTTCTCCCTTTCCAACCCACTCTCCCCTACGCTCCCAGTATGGCCACTCACACCACTGGTCCTGAAAGGATCATCTGCCCTGGATTCCCTGTGTTTCCAGTTCCTATCTGTACTAGTGTACATCCTCTGGTCAAGCCAGACTTGCGAGGTAGAATTCGGATCATAATAGTGGGCGCCAGGGGGTTTGGTGAGGAAGCATTTAGGAACTAGAGGAAAGTTGTATTTTTCATCGTTGCTACATCACACCCTGACTGGCTCATCTCCTCCCCAAGACCCTCTGCAAGGGGATCTCCAGTGACCTACAAATGGGCTTTGGGTTTCCACTCTGCACTCTCCCCTTTATGGTAAGATTTTTTTGTTCTGATGATGCCTGATACCTGATCCCTTCGACACCTCGTGATCGCACAGGCTGGTGTGCTTCTTCCATGTGGGCTTTGTTGGCGGGAGCATCTTTGCTGAATAAATTGACCTGTAATTTTCTGTTTCTAACAAAGGCAAGGTCTTTAAATAGGGTGTTTACAAATGTTCCTTTTTTGAATGATAGACTATCTGCTATTTTTAACTTAGTTTTCTTCACTTACTTTCTATTTAATTGTCTTAAAATACTATGTTGAAGATAAGTTGAAGTTAGATTACATGTTGTTTGGGGTTTTTTTGAGGTGAACTTCACATAAAATAAAATTAACTATTTTAAAACAAGCGATGTGTTGGCAGTATATTTATTCACAATTTTGTGCAGCCATCACTTCTATCTAGTTCCAAAACATTTTCAGCAGCCCAAAATAGCCCCATTCTCATTAATCTCAGTAGTGTGGTGGTTAAGCAGTTGAAAGGTGGGCAGCTTAGACTCCTTCCGTCGCACAGTGGGAGAAAGGCCTGGTGATCTGCTCAGATGACAGCCTGGGAAATACTGCGGGGCTGTTCTCCTGGGTCGAAAATCCACTGTGTATCACCTCAGCAGTCACAGCAGCACTCAGTGAGTGTTACTCCCCCTCTCCGTTTCCCCCAGCTTCTATCAGTTTACTTTCTATTCCTCTGGGTTTATTTTGTCTGAGTATTTCATATAAATAACATCACATGTGACCTCTTCTGTCTAGTTTCTTTCACTTCGCTTAACGTTGTGGAACTTCCTTCATGTAGCATGTATCAGTACTGCATCCCTGTTTGTGGCTGATTATTAGTCCATTGTGAGTGTGGATGGACCATCCTTTATCTGTTTAGGTTGTCTCTACCTTTTGACTACTTTGAGTAGTACTGACTGTTGTGAGTATTTATGTGCAAGTGTTTGTCCACATATGTGTTTTTAGTTCCTTGGTTGCACTTGGTAGGTCATATGGTAATTCTGTTGTTAACTTTTTGAGGAGCTGCCCTTTTCAATTCACACCAGCACTGTTATGGAGGTTCCAGTTACTTAACTGTCACATCTCTATTCCCCACCCCCACCCCCCAAAAAACAAAACTGCCCACTGTGGCTTCAACTCCGACCCTGGCGACTCTGGTACAGAGTGGAAATGCTCCTTTGGGTTTGCGAGGCTGTCGGTCTTTATGGGAACAGCCCGTCTCTTCTTTCTCCTCGTGCACGTAACAGAGAAGGCGTGATATAATCGGATTTGAGTAGAAGAGAAGACCCAGAGTGCTTGAAAATGAAGTTTTTCCTTCTTTCCTAGAAACTTACTTTGTTTTCACTCTCCTTAGATACGTGGTAGATGGTGGCTTTGTAAAACAATTAAATCACAACCCCAGATTAGGGTTGGACATCCTGGAAGTGGTTCCAATTTCAAAGTAAGTCTCCTCGTTAAATCTTTTGTTCAGCTAACAGTTGGCTAGATGTCTTCTAGCTGGTTTGGAGAGAAGAAGTCAATTATTTGAGAAACCCACAGAACATTTTGAGGACTTTTTTTTACCTTTCTTTGCTCTGAAGGAGCGAGGCGCTGCAGCGAAGTGGCCGAGCGGGTAGAACTTCCTCAGGAAAATGCTACCGGATCTACAGTAAAGACTTTTGGAATCAGTGTATGCCTGATCATGTGATCCCTGAGATTAAGAGAACGAGTTTGACATCTGTAGTTCTGACTTTAAAGTGCCTTGCCATACACGATGTTATAAGGTATGTAGACACCTCTTAAAAAAGGAAAACGTTCTCTACAGTGGAGCCAGGGTATTCCTCAAGAATTCTTTTGAAACAATTTGACTCCTATCTTCCTGTAGAGTTGAGGCTAGACTGACTTTTCTAGAATCAAACAAACCAAAATCAAAGGTTGAGATTTGTCCCTTACTGCTATTTTAACCTTGCCTTAACAGGTTACGATGTGCTGATATTTATTTAGACCCCCTGTTTACATGATAAGAATATATAAGTGACCCTAATTCCAGTTATCAATTGGGTTTTTTTGTGTTTATTTTTGCTTGCATTTTTATGTCCAGTATTGTAAAATGCCCTATCAAAGACAGAATCATAATATTGTAGTCATTTTTTGCATTCATCAGCTTAAGTTAGGTATATTAGATAAACTTTATGCACATGATGTGAAGACTAAAACAAGTGTTAAATTAGTCCAATGTTAACTGTCAATTGTTATGCAGGGTAGAGTCTTTTTATAGGGGCTTGCAATTTTAATTTGGCTAGGAATATGAGGGAACCTTGAGGGAAAATGACCGTGCATTCTCGGTGAAGTAAGCTCAAAAGCCCACTGCCATCAAGTCGATGTTGACTCATAGTGACCCTGTAGAACGGGAGGACTGCCCCTGTGAGTTTCCGAGATTGTCACTCTGTAGGGAGGTGATGAGACGTGTATATGTGTTGTTACTTAAGGAAGCCCACTTTCAAAAATATTGATAATTATGATCATAAAGCTAGAAATTTTCCTAAATGAAAATACAGATCCTAGAAAGAGTAAATTATATAATAAATTAAACTGTAACTATTACCATAAATGCTGCCAATGAGAAAGGAAAGAGCCCTGGAGACACAGTGCAAGAATTGTGCCCAATCTGACCGCACCACACCGGGCTAAACACACGAAGGGCATGCAACAGAACAGCAAGGGAGCAGAGCAAGGAAGTCCCGAGGGAGTACCAAAAATAGACTTTGGGGCCAGGGCGTGGCACCCCATTAGACCTGACCAGAAAACACTCCTAAAGGTCAACAAACAGACCTTGAACTATTTATAGGCTTTTCTGCTTTTTTTGTTTTTTGTTGTTTTCTTTTGTTGCTTTGTTTTGCTCTGTCTTGTTTTGGGGCATATTATTATCTCTGGAGGTCTGTTTAGATAAGAGAGGCGAGATAAACAATCCAGAGGAGAAAACAATGGGACCCATGGTTCCAGGGGGACATGGGAGAGGGAAAGGTGGTGGTGGTGGTGGTGTTAACAAACCAGGGACAAGGGAACAACAAGTGATTTAAAATCAATGGCAAGGAGGGTGTAGGACGCCTGGTAGGGCTTGATCAAGGACAATGGAGCAGAGGAATTACTGAAACACTAATGATGGCCGAAATTGATAGTGGGACAAGAGGAAAGTAAAAGGAAATAGACAAAAGAACTAGGAGGCAACAGGCATTTATAGAAGTCTAAATATAGACATGTACATATCTAAATATATATATGACAATGGGGAAATAGATCGATGTACATATATTTAAAGGTTTAGTATTAAGGTAGCAGATGGACATTGAGCCTCTACTTAAGTATTCTCCCAACACAAGAACATGTTGTTCTATTATCTGGCATTCCTTGATACTCACCTTCCCGACACCATTGCTGAAGACAGGTGCATATGTGAAGAAATGTGATGGTGCCCGGCTATAAAAAGATAAAGCATCTGGGGTCTTAAAGGCTTGAAGATAAACAAGGGGCCCTCTAGCTGAGAAGCAACAAAACTCACATGGAAGATGCACACCAGCCTGTGAGATCATGAGGTGTCGAGGGGATCAGTTATCAGGCATCAATCATCAGAACAAAAAATCATATCATTGTGAATGAGGGGGAGTGCAGAGTGGAGACCCAAAGCCCATCTGTAGGCAACTGGACATCCCCTTACAGAAGGGTCACGAGGAGGAGACGAGCCAGTCAGGGTGCAACATAGCATCGATGAAACATACAGCTTTCCTCTAGCTCTTTAATGTTTCCTCCGCCCACCCCCCACCCTCCCCACTATCATTACCCCAATTCTACCTTACAAATCTGGCTAGACCAGAGAATGTACATTGGTACAAATAGGAACTGGAAACACAGGGAATGCAGGACAGATAAACCCCCTCAAAACTAATATTGAGAGTAGCCATATCAGAAGGGGAAAGGGAAAGTGGGGGGAGGAAGGGGGAACCGAGCACAAGGATCTACATTTAACCCCCTCCCAGGGGGATGGACAGCAGAAAAGTGGATGAAGGGAGACATCGGTTATTGTAAGACATGAAAAAATAATAACTTACAAATTATCAAGAGTTCATGAGGAGGGAGGGGAAAAATGAGAACCCGATACCAAGGGCTCAAGTAGAAAGATAATGTTTTGAAAATGATGGCAACAATATATAGATGTGGTTGACACAGTGCATGGATGTATGGATTGTGATGAGTTGAACGAGCCCCCAATAAAATTATTTTCAAAAAAAGAGTAAGAAAAGAGCCACTAGAAGAAACCTAAATTGCTAAACAGAAAGCTTTCATGTGAACTTAATTTAAAATTAATTTTCTGAAAGATTAACAGCATCCTCTAATGAGTGTGAGTACATATCAGAAAAATAGAAACAAGAATTACTTAGTTTTATTTACATTTGGTTATTTTTCAACCTTAGCTTTCAGATGAACTTAATTTAAAATTAATTTTCTGAAAGATTTAACAGCAGCCTCTAATGAGTGTGAGTACATATCAGAAAAATAGAAACAAGAATTACTTAGTTTTATTTACATTTGGTTATTTTTCAATCTTAACACCTGCCAGGTACTACAAGTTCCCAGAATGCCCGAGAAAGTAGAAACTTTCATTCTTCCTCAGTTCTGTGTAGAATAAGCAGAGGTAGGCACAGTATATTGGGCAGATTGTATTCATAAGTGTCAAAAAGGAAATAGTCTCTATTTTTTTAAATAATACTTTTCTTTCCCTTCCCCATTTTTTTTAATCAATTGGGGATCATACAATTCATCACAATACATGGATCAATTGTGTAAAGCACATCTATACATTTGTTGCCCTCATTATTCCCAAAATTCGCTTTCCTCTTGGGTTCCCGGAATCAGCTCATTTTCCTTTTCCCCCCTCCCTCTCCCTTCCTCCTCCCCTCTCCCCCATGCACCCTTGATAACTTATAAATTATTATTATGTCTTATATTACACTGCCCGGCGTCTCCCTTCACCCACCCCTCTGCTGCCCGTCCCCCAGAGAGGAGGTTATATGTAGCTCCCTGTGATCAATTCCCCCTTTCTACACCCCCTTTCCCACCTGGTATCGCCACTGTCACTCCTGGTCCTGAGAGGTTCATCTGTCCTAGATTCCCTGCGTTTCCAATTCCCATCTGTACTGCTGTGCATCATTTGGTCTAACCAGGTCTGCAAGGCAGAATTGGGGTCCTGGTAGTTGGGGGGAGGAAGCGTTTAAGAACTAGAGGAAGGTTGTGGGTTTCATTATTGCTATACTGTACCCTAAGTGACTCGTCTCCCCACTACCCCTCTGCAAGGTATGTCCAGTTGTCTAGAGATGGGCATTGGGTCTCCATCACATGCCACCCTCATTGACGAGGATATGATTCCCCCGCCCCCCCCTGCCTTTCGTGTTTGAAGCCTGATCCCTTTGGCCCTTCATGATCACACATGTTGGTGTGTCCCTTCCTCATTTTAACTACCAAAGCAAGAACAAGTATAGATAAGAAAAACGTGATGAACAAGACAGACTTGGAAATAATGAGAGAAAACCTAACTACCATCAATTAATTTGTCTTGAGGTTTTAGACATTATTTCCTTGGTACTAAAAAAAGTTGTAGTGTTAATGTAAAAGCCACTATGGTTTATTTATGAGAAATTGTGCCCGTAATTTAACATTTAAGGTGTAACAAATAACCTTTTGTAGGTGATAAGTAATTGTTGCTCCAAATTTTAAAAATGTATATTCATGCTTTGTTATATACTATTATGCTATGCTTTTTGAATGTTATTTGTAATTTTGTTTATTAATGGTATGGTTATATAAGTGAATCCTTATTTTTAGAAGCTGCTTGATTAAACATTTTGGGTTTGAAGTGGCATTATATTTGTAATTTGCTTTCAGATAGTTTAGAAGAAAATACATTTACAGGCATGCATGCATAAAGCAAATATGGCTGGATTAATATTTTGCCTTTTATCTAAAAACATTTTGTTGTTCTCTTCAAAGTAGTTTTGAAAAATTTTTTTATGGAACTATAGGTGAGCGTAGGAGCCCCAGTGGTGTAATGGTTATGCATTGGGCTGCAGTTTGCAAGGTCAGCAGTTTGAAACCACCAGACGGGGCTTTCTACTCCCTTAAAGACAATCCTGGAAACACACAGGAGCAGATCTACCGTGGCCTGTGGGTCACTATGAGTCAACATCAACTTGATGGCAGTGAGTAATAGTGCAGAGTAGATGACATTGGCTGTGAGGAATGAGGTAGAATTAACAGAGAGGAAGGATGCAAGTGTCCCAGTTAGGAGGAATCCAAGAGAGAGGCTTCAGAAAGAAGCATTTCCTCCTTTGCTGAATGCTGACCATAATCTTGGGTTGTTTTGTTTTTAAAAAGAGAACTTGAAAAATAGGAGAAGTAAAACATTTTAAAGAAAATTTCATCAAGTCTGCATAAAATCCTTACACTGTTGATAGAATAGATTCTCATTCCAACTCATTTAAACACACAGATTCCCATATTTGGATCCACCTAATGAGAGGCTCATTTTGGAAGCACTTAAACAACTTTACCAGTGTGATGCTATTGACAGGTAAAAAAAACAACCACAGGAACAAATCTGGTTTTGAGTAGAGTTTTCCGTACCTTTCTTTATTGGTAGGAAATTATTTATTTGTATGTAACTGTTTGACCTGGAATTAGAATTTTTCAGTCTTTATTATAATTCTGAATTTTAAAACTGTTCCATAAAACCTTACAAACCTTTTGGTTTAATATTGGTGTTATATAGTAATGTGTGAGTACTGTATCTGTGCCCAATAATACACAGAGTACATAAGGATAATAAGAAAGCCCACATTCTTTTTTCTCATAATGGTGTGATGTTAGATGATAGGATATTTTTTCATCATCCCTTTTTTCAGTGACTTCCTCTATGTTACAGTACCTTATTTGGGGGGGAAATTCCATTCTTTTAATTACCTTTTCCATGAACGTTTTAAAAGCCCTTTAATATTTTAATCTTAAAAAAAAAGTCTTTTGCCAGGGAAGCCAGCCCCTAGCACATCATTACCAGTCTGGTAGGCGCAATTGTACAGCGATAATAAAGATTATAGTAAAGTTATAGAGAGCATGAGAGATAGAAGAGAAATATAGAAATAAATGGAGTTGGACACATTTCATGGTAGCATGCTCACCTCAACCCCGCTTGGTGGTTCACGTGGAGAAAGAGAATCTTTAATGCTAACCAAGGCTTTTATATTCTCTGGGGGCATGCTAGCCCCCTAATTACAAGGGAAGACATACATCACAGGAAGGGGTTGTGCTATAGGTAATGCAGTAATGGGAGGGAGTGACCTAGGGGTACCCACGCAATAGGAAGAGGAGGGATTCCGGGTATACATGCGGCAAGATGGGTGGATCCTAGATACAGGATGGCAGCCTAACTTTGGATGTTACAGAGCCTGTTTGACTTGTTCCCTGGCTCAACTGATAGACCATTATCGGCAGGGTGAGAACTCCACCTGCAGGAACCAAGATAATATTCTCAAGCCTTAGGGAGAAGTAATCCATTGTCTCCAGCAGCAGGGAGTAGGCCCACCCCTGTGGTGTGGGGGGAGACAGCAGTCTGCCTCCAGAGAGGGTGTCTAAGCATCTGACCTCCTCCCACAATGTTTTATTACTTTATTCTGCTTCATATGGTGGCTGTTGTATGTATAGTAAGGCATCTGACAAGAAGGGCATATTTATCGCCCTTGTGTTCCTTTTTTCACTGTTTATATTGAATGAATTTCTGGAAATGATTTCAAAAGACTTGAGTTATATAACTCTTCCAAAGTAGGAAGACTCACAAACTTTTTCTTTATGCTAAGGAGTGGGCATGTGACCAGGTTGGGCTTATCTATGGTGGAATTTCCTCTCCCTCCGCATCTGACATGTGCAGTAATAAAGGCTGCTTCTCTGGATTGTGAAGATCTACTACTTCCAATAGCAGCCATGTTATCCGTGGAAAATGTCTTCATTAGACCGGGTAAGAAGCTGATTGAGCTTGTTTTACCATTGGAGAGGAATAAGATTTGATTTCTTATCTAGCACAGTGAAGAAATGCACTTGGCAGCATCTTTTATTTTTTCCATTAGTTTTCTTAATTGTTAAGATTTAATATACTCATTGTAGAAAATTTGGAATTTACTAAAACACGTAACAGGAGAAAAAAGGTTTTCTGTAAGCCAGTCACAAAGAGGCACTTTTATTTCTATTTTGGGAGATAGTAAATATTTTAATTTGTGTCTAGGTATTTAAATTTGTTACATAAATACATCATTTAGAAAAGTTGTTTCAGAAGACTTGGTGAAACTTCAGTTTGTTGGTAGATATGGGAGAAGGTTGGTAATCTAATCTAGGGCTAAAGTTCTTGAAAATCTGTTTATTGGAAATTGCTGGGGACCCAGATTTAAGTTAGAAGTAGCCTGTGTCATGTTAATAATTAAAGTATCTGCTGATGTGTTTCACCTATAAACGTGCTGTGTAATTGCCGCGGTTTCTGAGTAGGGAGAATTAACAAAGAACCAAACAGACACACACAGAGACAATACAGGACTGACTGCAGCACAAAACAGACACAGACAGAGACGGTGCAGAACTGCAGCCCTGACGGACCCCAGAGCTTTATTTTTATGTACTTGATACTGGCAGTGTCCCCATATACGTTCGCTATTCCCACTCTTGAATTTCTCATACCTTGACAGAGTTCCGTATCTCAGTGCATACTGCTCTTGTTTACTGTTCCCAGGGAACAATGTATGCAGCTGTTCCCCAAATTCCTTACTGTTTGCAGTAAGGAAACAGTTTATAAGAACCAGCTAGGACAGACGTTTGCACACTGTCCTAGACAGATATACAACACGAGATACGGCCCTCCTTACGTGGCTCCTTCAGTAATTATTTGGAATCCGTCTCTACCTCAGACAAATGTTCTAGGTGTGTTCTCTGGCTAAGCATGCTCTGCTCTTCTACAACTAACCTTGTTTGACCCTAGCATACCAGATGCTTTTCCTTTAGTTTCGGGTGTGGTGTTCTCAGGAACCTTTTATTAGTAGGAAATAAAAACATTGTTTCAGGAAATATAGTAATAGTAAAATTAAAACAATCACTTAATCTTGAGACTAAGCAATTCATCTCTGCCTCTATACATTAAAAAACATTCAGCACCATTTGCTTTATGTAGAGTTTTCAGAATTTATTCAAGTTTCTGGGACACTTGGTCTATCAAACAAGGGAATTTTTGAAATACAAAAG